CTAGCCCATAGATCCGGCGGATCTGGCAGGTCCGGTGGCTTTGGAGGAATGGGGATGGTCGGTGACATTGAGAAGGAGGTTCTCCGGTGGAAAGAGAGAGACGTGATCGCTCAAGCAGTTTCGACGGAGTGAAACGATGGATCAGAAGCTCAGTCCACAAGTATAACATGGAGTTCATCGATTCAAGTGCCGTAGAGAGAGAGGGAGGCAGAACACAATTTTGCCGGAGAAGAGAACGGCTGAAGAACAATTTTGATTTTCATCGTCTCGTCTCGTCTCCTCTCCTCTCTCAAGGGATTTTAGGGACAAGAGCCAATATGCCATTAAGTTTTTGAAAATAATCTCACTACCCCTCTCCTAATCTCAATGCCTACTTTATTCTTCTCTTTATTTTATCTTCACCCTTCTTCAATAAAATAATAATATCCAAAACTAATAAAATAAATAAAAAAAAAACAAATTCATAATATTTTAATTTAATTCTTAACTAAATCTCAACTACCTACGGACCCCACATCTTCATCTTCTTTATGGTCCCTTTCACTAGTTGGTAGATTCTTCGTTCTTCCTGTTTCCCAAAACCCAACATTCTCTATCTTGAAATTATATAGAAACTTTATAAAGTGAGTCTTTTGCCACATTATCTCTTTTACATACGCTATAAATCTTAGAATAATAGGGAGTGCTACACATTGTTGCTCTTGGTCTTCCAATGGTGCCATTGTTCTAATTTTTTTGTCGATGAATGAATAATTGAAATTCTTTGCTAAGAGTTGTAGGTCGGTAAATAGGAGGAGTTATAATCGTCAAATGAACATCAAATCATCCCGATTCGTAGTAAATCGTTGGAGATTCGTAGATAAATAGAAATTTTCTGGGTACACGAACAGAGTACTACTGGACCAACTGGTATTACTAAGACATCAGGTATTACTGAGAGCAACTGGTATTACTGAGCATTGTTTAGAAATAGAAACAACTGGGTACAACTGGACTAGTATTACTGCTTGTATTAGTGAGAGAAATGATATGATTGAGACATATACTAATGATATTTGTTATTTTTGTTCAGGGGACAATAAAATTAAGTCGTTTCACTATTATATGCTTCGATTATGGGGGATCTTATTCAAAGGAAGGTGATGTCATAAGATGGGTATCAAGAGAAGATGAAATTCACACCTTAGTGATGAAGACGTTTGTTGAGGAGGTAACTTATGTTGGGTTGATCAGTGGAATATGCAGGAAGATGAAGATAGATGAAGCTAATACGCAGCTGAAAGTCAGTTACTTTCCATTGGTAGTGGATCCTAAGCCATCATATATCTGGAATGATGAGAATGTTTTTGGCTACCTGATGCAAGTGAATAACGATACATGTAGAAGTGCTTTGCACGTGGAGATCGTGGAAGATGTCGATCAGGGTGTTGTGCGGCCTTCAAGAGAGGATCGCGAAAGTGTAAATGGTCCAAGTAATGAGCAAGTGTTTTCAAGTGGTATGGATGTTAATGCTGGTATAATTACTCTTCATGGTGGTGAACCATCAGAAGGCCATCAAGCAGAACAAAGAAATGTGTCCAGGGAAGAGGTTGATGATATTGAGTATGGACCTGCTATAGAAGAAGTAGCGGTAAATAATGGCTGGGAAGATGGTATTGAAATGATTGTAGGTCAAGAATTTAGAAGTAAAAGACAGTGCAATTAGTTCATGTAGGCTCACATCAGAATTGTTTTGAGGTTGATACAATCAAGTCTGACAAAAAGCGATATGTGGTGAAATGTCGCGAAGCAAAAAATGGTTGCAAGTGGTCTTTACGAGCTGCAAAGTTGATGGAATCAGATTGTTTCTCGGTAAGAACTTACAACAAGATGCATACATGCTCTCGAGCTTCTGTAGTTACAGTTAGGAATAAAAGGAAAGGGACACCGGGTTTGGTTGCATCTGTTGTGCATGAAGATTATCCGGGTAAATTTGACACTCCAACTCCAAAACATCTGATCGATATGGTTCAAGGACGACTTGGGGTAAAAGTATCATACTCTACTGCTTTGAGGGGGAAAAAACAAGCTGCAAATGATGTGCGGGGAAGTCCAGTCGAGAGTTACCAGTTGGTGTATTCCTATATGTACATGCTGGAGTCGATGAATCCTGGTACACGGACTTTTGTGGAATTGGACGAAAACAAAAAGTTCAAGTACTTATTCTTTGCGTTAGGAGCTAGCATTGAGGGATTCCAAGCCATGAGAAAAGTCATTGTTGTGGATGGAACCCACCTTAAGACTGGATATGGTGGTGTTTTGTTAGTTGCTACAGCTCAAGATCCTAATCATCACCATTATCCAATTGCGTTTGGTGTAGTTGATGGTGAGAAAGATGCTAGTTGGATGTGGTTTATGAACAGGTTGAAATCAGTGATACCGGATGATCCTGAATTGGTGTTTCTTTCTGATAGAAACTCAAACCTCATCAAGTCTGTGCAGGCGGTGTTTCCGTTGTCTCAACATGGGTATTGTATTCAACATTTGTCTCAGAATGTAAAAGCGAATGTCTACTACGTCAACAAGGATATATGCGTTCTGAAGTTCAAAGAATGCGCTCATGCGTATACAGAGAGTGAGTTCCTGACACTTTTTGATGCTTTTAGAACCAAGTATCCTTCCGCACTCGATGGTAGTGTTCCTGTGGACAAATGGGCAAGATGCTATTTTCCAGGAGAAAGGTACAACATAGACACCTCCAATATTGTAGAATCTATTAATGGTGTTCTTAGGAAAGCAAGGAAGTACGCTCTATTACCAATGATTGATGTGATTGTTGATAAGCTGGCTGAATGATTTAACAAGCATATGAACAGTTCTTCTGAAGTATCAAGCACCCAGAAGCTTGTGCCTTATGTGGAGAAAGAACTGCATAAAAGATCACCGGAAGCAAATAAATTAACGGTGCATGAGTTGAACGCCTTCTTCCTTGAATTCAGTGTCATTGGAAAAGACGGCAAATGCTATTTGGTTGATATGAAAAGGAAAAGCTGTAGTTGCAAGTGTTTTGATATAGACAGATACCCTTGTGTGCATGCAATAGCTGCTGCCATCTTTATGAGCGGAGGCCGGGAACTTCATCTACAAGAGTTTTGCTCGAAATATTATTGGATGGAGCTATGGACATTAGCGTACTGCAGGACGATTTATCCAGTACCACACAGGTCTGATTGGATTATTCCTGATCATATACAAAACCTGGTTGTCATACCACCAGATTATGTCGCAAAGGAAGGAAGACCTCAAGAAAACCGGTTCCCATCAGCTGGAGAACACCGAGGAAGAGGGAGAGGGAGAGGAAGAGGAAGGGGAAGAGGAAGAGGAGGGATGTGGTCATATTTCTTTAGTGGTAATAGTGAGGCTGGTGAGGCTGGTGATGCTGTGTAGCTCGTTTGTGTTTATTTTGTGTATTCGGAATACTTGGAACAACTGGTGCAACTGATAGTATCTAAGACGGTTTTTTTTAATGTATTCAAGAGTATGTTTGTTTTTAATTGAATTTCGAACATTCGATATGAAAAAATCTTGTATTAGTTTATTTAGAGTTATATTTTATTTTTAAAATTATTAGAAAAACATTCAATATGAAACAATCAAATAAAGAACATTTACACAACAAACACCATACACTTCTATGAACACTTTCTAAATACTGACCATCATATGAAGCCATAGACAGATACGATGAGTTTTAAAACATTTTTAATGCATAAAACCCTTAGGCTTAACAACAGAAGGACTAAAATCATCTGTAAAACTACAAACAGGAAATTTATTGCGGAGTATAACTATATAAAGTTAAAAACACCCAAAAGTACAACTATTTGAAAATAGTATAACTAAAAAACTACGGATTACTAAGTGTAATTTTGGCGGCGTCCACGTAAGCAAAAAACGGCCCACGTGTTATTTTGGTGGGGAGCGGGAAATTTTTGGAAATTCAGGACGGTTTTCCCGGTTTAAGGTAAATTGTAGAAATCGGGGTCCTAGGGATTTCTTTCACTTCTCAGATTCGAGTTTCCTCCTCCCTTCTCTATCTCTTAGGGTTTTAGGGTTTGTTCTTTCTTATCTCTTTAGGTTAGTCGATCTTTCTATCTCTCTCTTAAAATGGATTCGGATTGTAGCTATCACTACACGGACAATTTCCTCATCGACCCATACGAGGAGGAGTTGAAGGAAGAGAAGAGGCGCCGCAAGGAAATGAAGAAGATGAAGCAGCATTCAGACATGGTTGGATTCGTCGCCGATGGCCAATATGGGATTCCGAGAAGATGCCCATGTGGTGGATCTATCAAGCACGATGTATCTCCTTCTCCAAAATTTAAACACGATTTCGATACTCAACCAGGCAGTAGGTACTTCACCTGCACCAAATTTAAGGTATAATCTCTATAATTTCAGATCTGGGTTTTTTCTGGGTAAAACTAGAAAAACTAGGTTAAACTATTTAGATGTTCTTCGGGTGTAAAACTTGGAATACTAGGTATAACTATAATGGATGTTGCTCATTTTTTTGTTTCTTTGCTAGGATGATGGACTCCACTTTCGTTAGCCATGGGTTTTCGGAGTCGAACAAGAGATTGAGAAGCTAGTTATGAAAGTTGAAGAGCAGAGCAAGACGATTGAAGAAATGCGAAAACAGATTCAGATCCAAGCCGAAGAGATAGCGAAGCTCAAGACTTAACGAATCTGCAATTTCCTTTAATTGTTGTTTTAATTGTTGTTCAAGACTAACGTTTCCTTGCACTTCAATGTTTTATAACTATTTTTAGTGTTTATATCAAATCAAATCAAACATTCGAAATCCAAATCAAATAAATTAAAACACCATACCAAATGAAATACGTTTAAATCCAAACATTAAATCCAAACTTTAAATCCTAACAACATAACAACATATCAGCATTCGAGTTTTAGTCCAAGTGAAAACCAAAATAGAAAATATTTTAAGTCCAACTAGACTATTTTTTCCTGCCCCTCTTGGCCTTTTCCTCTGTGTAAGGAGGTCGCACATTCTGGGAACGTTTTATCTTCCTCTTCTGGGGTTCGTCGGCTGCCTCTTTCTCCACTTGGGACTGTGAACCTTTTTTTTTCCTTCGATACACCTGCTTACCCACCGCGGAGGAAGATGTCTCTTCTGTCTGCAAACACAAATAGTTTTACTTAGTGTTACATAGTGTGACATTTCTGTTTTAGGGTATAAGAATTACATAGTTTTACTTACCTCCTTCGCTCCCTCTGCCTCCTTTGCTCCCTCTTCCTCCTTAGCTTCCTCTACCTCCTTAGCTTTAGATAAAACAGCAGCCACAGACTTGTTAGGGACCTTCAGCAATCTGCCTCCTACTCTTATAACATTGCTACATCGCGTTATTGAAGAATTACCGCTTTGCTCTTCTGCCTCCTCTGCCTCTTCTGCCTCCTCTGCCTCTTCTGCCTCTTCCTCCTCTGCCTCCTTAGCCGCTTCATTCTTTTCTCCCTGCAAAACACATACAGTTAAACTCCCTGCAAAACACAAACAGTTAAACTCCCTGCAAAAGACCAATTACCTCCGGTTCCTTCTCTTGTTCCTTCTCTGGTTCCTCAACCCTTGTCTCCTTCTCCGCCTCCTTCTCTGCCTCCTTCTCTTGTTCCTCAACCCTTGTCTCCTTCTCCGCCTCCTTCTCTGCCTCCTTCTCTTGTTCCTCAACACCTGTCTTCGCCTCCTTCCCTGCTCCCTTCTCCACTTCTGCTTCTTGCTCTTCTCCCTGCAAAACACAAAGTTGTACTTAGTGTTACATAGTATTACTTTTCCGTTTAGAGGTCTAAGTCAACCAAATCTTACCTCTGCTCCTTCCGCTCCATCATTGTTATTCACATTAGAACGAGGAATGTAATCATCATAATTGACGTCCTCATACATGCTTCGAGCATCTAATTGCTCTTTCACATAGCCTTCCACTGCTGCAAGTCTTGTGTTGAACCCAGCAAACTTGTCATTCATCTTCTTGAACCCACTCTCCATTTCCGTCTTCAGCCTCTGTACGACCTCAACCAAGTCAGAGACAAAACCAGTGGAGGCATTGGCGGCATTCGTGGCGTTCTCGGCGTTCGCGGCATTGACGGCTTTGACGGCATTCGCGTCTTCTAGTCGGGCGGCCACGTCTTCTTCGTACATCTGTTCAAAACAGACTGGCTTGTCTTCATCTTTAATACACTTTAACCAACTATGAACAACAGCATCATCGACATTATCATCGTCATCTTCTTCAGTCACTCGAGCCATAAAAGCTTCTTCCTCATTGTAAGGGACCAAGATGCTATCAATCTCCTGTGGATATAAACAAAGAGTGCAATTCCAATCATAAATAAATTAAAAGTGTGCAAATTTAAAATGTTTGAATTTAAAAGTATTACTGACCTTAGTTGTACAAAGTGCTTCATTTACTTCCTCGAGAGAAAATCCTTTCATGGCGCTTTTTTTGAACTTGCTCTTGCACATCCTCGGACAAGTTTTTCTCGCAGATGGAACAACTTCTCGGAATTTCTTCTTCAGTGATGGAATTGCTTCAAACGCTAGAAGCTACATATGCCACATATATTTCGAGTTAGCTTCAAATCTATGGAATTACAAGTACTACATATATTCATATTTACCTCCAAAGGAATGCAGAAGCTTGGATAAGTCCAATTTGATCCGCTAACAACCCCTTTAAAATGATCCACAGTATGCTGGATCTCTTCCATATTGTTATCAAAAGACAATCTCCCCCAGAGAAATGTCCTACACAAATGCAGATCACTGACTGCTCGTTGAAAGAACCGCTCCACACAAGTAGCATCACCTCCTGTCTTAGACTGCCCAATAATGACGCTTGATAGAAAGAAAAGGATGGCCATCCTTAACCGATCTGGAGAATATTTCATATTCTCCAGCTTTTCTTTCACATCTGAGTATCTTACTTTTTCCCCCGCCCCAAAGTGCTTCTCCACGAACTCCATACTGCCCATTTCCGAATAGTTAGGAGGATAGCTGCGACAGTTTAAACTGGAGATGAGGGCGTGTTCACGTAGACCATACCGAATGGGCACGCCATTCACAATGAACCAGGCTTCCTTTTTCCTCTCCGTAACCGCCGTTCGAAGAATCAGCAACCACATCCCCATTAACTTGTGGTTTGAGTCCTTGTGCATGTGGAAGAAATGTTTGAATTGGGGGTGATCTACAAACCAAATCTTCTCCTCTGGTCTAAGTGGATACTTTAATCCACTTAGCAGTAAATCCACTGCTTTCGAGATATAACACCTTGTAGACAGCTTGATCTTTTTCACGTACTCCGTTGGCTAGAAGTACATCTCCATCAGAAGCATTGGCTCGGTTCCCTGCAACATAGTTGTACCAAGTATTACTTTTTTTCTAGAAATTCTTAACATACAAAATTACCCTAGTTTTACCAGTTTTACTAAAAACTCAGAATATTACTAATTCGAAACAAACAATCAACAATCAACGAAAATGAAAACCTGATAGCCTAAATTCTAAATTAGAAACAAAGACTCGCTATACAATCAATCACCCAAAACGAAAGTACTTTAAGCAAACTCGATACCCAAAACCAACGAGTTCTTCCAAACTCGAAAATCAAGTAACAATGGTTTGGGTACATACCATTGAAGAATCGGATGCGCCGTCGTCCGTGACGGTTCAGCTGCTTCCGTCGCCTCCATCGTTGCCTCCTGCTTCTTCGTTCTCTGAAGATTCCGGGTCCGAGTCTTCATAGACCACCTGAGAGGTTCTCTTAGATCTTCGAACCTCCGATGGAACCTCATCAGTTAAACCATAATTCGGCCTCTTTGTACGCACCATATGCCTACATGATCAATCCAAATCGGTTACAATGGAATCTATATCGACATCCATCTCACAAATCCGACAAGATTACGACACTTACCTTCTCTGATTCGCCTACAAATCGATTGCTGTTGTGATGAGAGTTAGATAGTTTGACTTAGTTTTTCTTAGTAACTGCTCGTAGTGGTCCCGACGAACTAGGATCAATCATCGTTTCGTCTGCTTTTTTCTTTTAAATTTTTTGCCCTAATTTACTTTTGATCGATTGGGAAGATGAAGGGTGATTTTATGCAGTTTTTAACAGTTAGATCCGACTTAGGATCCGGGATATATGGGCGGATTAGGGTTTGGGTGGGTTTCTCTTGGTTGGGTCAGTAATTTTGTTAAGTTTGAAAGGGCAGAATCGATATCTACTCCTTTTCGCTATTTAAAATAAATGTTATCAAATAATCCAAAAATAACAGGGGTATATTGGATCGTTTTTGAACCGAGAGGGGCACCTCAGCCATTGATCCGGATTTTAGTGATGTTGATTGTAGTAAAAAAAATGCTATTAAATTTTGGAAGAAACGCTTCGGATGAAGATAATTTTTATTTGACTGAAGATATTTTTAAAAAATAAAAAATAGGAAAAAAAGTAAAGCTGATGTGTCATGGAGGGGAGTGCTCACGTGTCATCCCCTTGTGAGACACAACCCACTCTTTATATAATAGATTATATTATATAGAATATGATATTTTTTAATTGATAAAACTAAGTGGTGGCTTGCGCATTGCGGAGGCATACATACATTAGATAAATTTGTTTTTCGAGACAATTGAAAGACAACAAATTAGAAGACAATTATCAAAACATACTAATAGAATAACTTTTATTAGAGAAGTTTAATTTTGAGAACTTACCAAATAAAAAATTCTTTTGAAAATTCTCCGTTAAAATATCATCAAACTCAAAAAGTCGCATGAATGGATAATCTCCTCTATAAATTTCATCTGAGATTTTGGTGTTTGAGAAAAATTTGATTTTTCAAATATTGAGTGTTAATCGTTTCGGGGTGTTTGTAGGAAGTACTGCAAAGTTTTTGATAAATTTCCATTGCCCTCGTTAACGTCCCTTGCATAAAATTGAAGTAATATGATAGACTCAACCGTTGCTTGTACACGGGTTCTCTTAAAAAAAATGCTGAATGAAGCCAAATATGCATTAACATTAGTAGAAAATGATAAACATAAACTCAAAAAGCTTACATGTTCATCAATGAGAATTAAGTGTAAAATATCATCACCATTATGAACCAATTCAGTCTATCTCTTTGTAACACTAACTCTTACTGTCTAATCGGTCCTCGAAGAATGGATATCGCTTATCATTGAGAACTCTGACATAGTCAAGAACACAGAGAAATGAGAAACTGATAAGTTTTTTATCAGACTGAAGAAGTTATCATATGCAAGACATTTTCATATAGAAAAGCAAATAGGTATCTTTGTAATTTATTCCAATTGACCATGGCAATTAGTATGGTGGTCAAACTAAAATACAAAGTCATAAATGCTTTTAAGTATTTGTCAGTCTATGTCCACTCATTGCAGTATATTTTTTCTTTATTTTTTTTTCTCTTGGCCGTGTCTATGTCCATTCTATGTCTATATCTTTATTTTTTCTTTACGTTTGTTTTGTCTAATCGAACGCTCTGACTAACAAATGGCTAAGAGGAAAATCTGTTAGCCTCGAGAACTTAACATGGTTAATTACTACGACTGTTTAAACTTAAAAGCAAGCAATACAAACATAATACATCTATCAAGAGGTACACACTAAAACTAACATACATAGTAACACTAATTGCAGTACACAAGGCCACACCTATACTTTTTCACGAGTCTTGTCTTAGAATAAATGGTTTATGTATCTTTCGAACCACATCTTGCAGTTGAAACCTCTTCATCACCTCATAGCTTATAATTAGATCCATAATATTATTAAAGATTCAATGACTAATATAAATATTAATCTTGTATATAGTAAGATGATGAACATCAGGGATATCTGCATTAATAATACTTTCACAATACTTCTTTCTTGCAATGACATTTATAATGCCTATACGAAGAATTAAAACAATAGGTCATAAGACAATATATTATTGCCCTAAAATGAACAAAATGAGCTTCGTGTAATTAAACAATACCATCATATAGTTTATTGATATTCCACCACCTCATGACACAGATAACTTCTGCACTGTTATTTTGGATCCATCGCAATGCAAAATCTTCAGCCGATACTCCCATCCCATAACATTCGATCACACTTTTTCTACACAATAAAACTATCTATTAATCAAATACATTGATACTATGATGACAAAATAGATAATTTTCTTACCTGTCAACTTGAAGCTCAAAAGGAATCACAGCGTAATCTTTTTGTATCTTATTCTCATCAAAAATCTCGAGCTCGCCAATGTTCATAAGAACACCGATCAAATCTGAAATTAGCTTGACAAAATTTAGAAACTCTTTATTTTCATTTAACATAAATGATACTATTATTCATAATCAAAGTAGTTACCGATACTATACGTGACGTCAAGACGGCCTCCAAGAACATCCCAAAAGTCAGTGCAAGATAAAAATAGGCTATTTCCACGTCCACTAACCGGAATTAATGACGTGTTTGTAACAAACTTCAGCTTAAAAGGATACCTTACTACACGCGTTAAACCATTAGAAGTTTTAAGTACAAAACCACTCAAGAGATTCCATTGATCTTTAATAAGTTTATCTTCAAACAAGTGTATGTATTTATTTCCAATCGAAGCTTGTATCTTAAACCCCTGAAAAACATTATCTAAATTTCAAGGACATAAATAGAAGATATAGGAAGAAGGAACAATAATTTAGAGTTTGAATGAGTATTCTTACATGTATATCCACAAAAATCTTCTTTAATTTATTTCTGCAGTGTCTATCCTTTTCATGCCATTTCTTGAGCAACTTTATTTCATTAGCTGGATCGATAACCAAATGATATATTTCAGAGATTTTTTAAAACCGTGACATATTAACACAAAGTAAAAAAAAAAAAGATCCCAAAACAAAGTACTCTTGTGATGTAAATCTCTACCAAATCTCCTTATCACTAAATAAGATAAAGGGAGATAAACAGTTTACAGCATATACATCGAGTATAATAACTATTAAAATAATAATATTTAGGTATATTTCATTCTTACGGCCTATTTAAATTCTTTAACCTTATTTTGGCAAAAACTAACGGTCAAAAGTATAAGCAAATTGAGGAAATGTCTATAGATTACAAAAATCTAGAAAACAAATGGGAACATTTAATAGGCTTCAAAACGGTGCAACATCATCAAGTCCGAAATGTCAGCCAAATTTCGACTATATAAAAGCGAGAAAAAATGTTAAAAACAATTTGACTCGTCTAATGGGCAAGTGTTAACCCATGTTTATATTTATATAAATTTAAGCCCAAAACATTTACGAAAGCCATACATTCCGCTCAAATAATTAATATTAAGATTTAATAATGTTGGGTCCTTATATAAGAAATCATTAAATCTCACCTGATTTTCAAATAAACCCAACCCCAAGTCGAAGTTTCCTGAATGACAATTCTATCAGTCCACCTACCAAAGTAAGGTTGGATGAACTTTAATTGTGAGTATAATGAAGCAAAACTTTATCTTTACATTAAGTTTGCAACCAAATGGATTTGGCACCAAAAGATTACAAAGTCGCGCCCTCATCTACGTGACCGAAAAGAAACGTTTCCTACGATATCAACCTTCCAGATGTCTATGAAGAATGTGGTGAGCTTTTCTACCTTAAAACGTTGTTAAATATTCGGAGAGGACCACAATGCTTCGAAGATATCAGGACAGTAAACATTGTTTTATATCCAACTTTGTTGAAACATGTATTGGAATAGGATTAATCGAAGCACATGATGCTTAAGAGCAGATGGACAAATCTACCTATCTTACCTTTAGAGATTTTTTTATTATTTATGGTTTTGCTACTTTTGCATAATATACCTAATAATTATAAATAAACTTGAAAAAAATATACAATAGTAATATTGACTTACCATCATCCCACTGATAGATCGTATTATGTTGTCGTAATTGATTCATAGACCATTAGCAAGACCTTGGATTCATACCAAAATGAATAACGGTTTAAATGTTATTCAACTTCTAAACCGGAGGACGCTATGCTTGTCTTATTTGAGAGCTGGCAAGTTTAATCACTTACAAAGAAGGCTTTGGCGACCAGGAGAGACATCTAAGCATTCAGGAGACACATATAAAAATCCAGGAGAGTCAGGAAACATCTTCCAATGCACCAGCACCAACACATGATCAGGCGGATCATGTCACACTTCTATTTACCATATATGGAAGCATTTACACTTGGCTCCATAACTCACCAACGGCTACTTCCTTTCATGATCCGAGATAAGCAAGAATTGGGGAGATTATTAACCATCAAGCTATCAAGATACAAGTCAACAAATCCCTTTCATTCAGTCTTTTGCTCATCTCTCATTAAATGGGTCAAAAAAATCCCTTTAATCTCTCTTTTTGATCTTTCTTTGATTTTTGCATAATTCTCTCTTTAGAGTTATTGCCTAGGACGTCTACTGAGCCTATATAAGGTCATTGCTGTTTCATTTGTAGTACAACCACTTTTATCTAAGAAAAATATAAAAACTTTGTTCTTTTTATTCAAAGATAGTTCTTTGTTTAAACAACTTGCCTTTACATTCAATAGAGTGCAGCGGCGGATCTAGAATAATTATTCAATGGGTGCACTATTAATAGAAAACTAAAAAGAAGGCACAGGAGTGAATCGAACTTGAGTTATTAAGGGTGCACTTATAGGTTTTTCCAACTCATCTAACAGAATTTCAATGTTTATGAACACAAAATTGCAAATATTATGGGTGCACATGCCCCCATAGTTCATAACCTGCATTCGCCCCTGATAGAGTGATTCTTTTGTTTCTACTGATTCTTGGAATAGATTTGTTTGTGTGATTCAGGCAAGGCTAGTTCCAACGGCTGAGTGAGTCAGCCATCCCACCGACTGAGCGAGTCAGTCAACCTACCGATTGAGCGAGTCAATCACCTCAATTCCACCTCCATTCCGACTTCATCTCACATTTCCGCACCATAAGCTTGGAATTCTCTTGATCATCTTGTGATCATAAGTTAGAGTGATTCCAATCCAGGATTATTCATCATCAAGCTATCAAGATACAAGTCAACAAATCCCTTTCATTCCGCCTTTTGCTCATCTCTCATTAAATGGGTCAAAAAATCCATTTAATCTCTCTTTTTGATCTTTCTTTGATTTTTGCATAATTCTCTTTTTAGAGTTATTGCCTAGGACGTGTACTGAGCCTATATAAGCTCATTGCTGTTTCATTTGTAGAACAACCACTTTTATCTAAGAAAAATATAAAAACTTTGTTCTTTTTATTCAAAGACAGTTCTTTGTTTAAACAACTTGTCTTTAGATTCAATAGAGTGATTCTTTTGTTTCCACTGATTCTTGGAATAGATTTATTTGTGTGATTCAGGCAAGGCT